TTTTCTTTTCTTTTCTTTTCTTTTCTTTTCTTTTCTTTTCTTTTCTTTTCTATATAATTTTATTAAAATTTTTAAAAAAGAAGGTAAAAATGATAGAAACTAATATATTAGAGTAAGAAAAAGAAAAAAGAAATAAAAGAAAGAACTAAAAGTGGGAAAGCAAAGAAAGAAAAAGATACAAAGAAGCAGTTTCCGATATTCTTCACAGCAGTTATCAGCAGGAATATAAATTTACCTCTTGCTCTATGGTTACAACATGACTCTTGTTGTCCTATAGTCTGTTTTTTCTAGTCATCAGAACCATAAATCATAAGTTCTTTTTTATCTGTTTTATGCAAAAAGTCCATTAGGGGTTTCCAGTCAGCAATCAACGTAGATTTTTGTCTTTCCTCTGCTCAAATAAGTCCATGTGGCCATCTCAGCAAGTTCCATCTTCTCACCATCGATTCCTCCACTGGGGGTGATGCCGAATCTTTCCATCTTCGCGCATACAATGATCTCGCTGTGGTGATCATGTACAAAGACAAAGTTCCCAGGCAAGAGTTTTATTTTGTCAGCGTCATTCACAGCTCAGTCTTCCGGCTCCTTCCCAGAACAGGGACACTGTCTTTGATTTCGGGCCTTTGTTCTCAGGTTCTCCGTGGGGTAGCACCCTTTTTTCTTTCTTTCTGAGAAGAAAGGTCTTTAGCTTGCCCGGCTAGGTGGCAGCACCCAGCTGATCTGGTCTGACAGGGAAATTCAGAAGACATGCCAGGAGAAGGCAGTGTCAAAGTACTTCCGTCTAGTTGTCAAGAAAACGATAGGAGCATCGGTGTGAAGTTGCCAGGAGTCAAACGGAACTCAAAGCAGACTGTCCTTGCCATCTTGGCTTGGATCATGCAGAAGCCCCCAACTGGAAGCAAAGGAAACCCACCCACACCCACATACAGACAGGACTATGGTGGAAGACAGTGACATTGGGAGCCCTGTAAGATTCAGGGAACATGGCAGTGGAATTGCAGATTATAAACTGAGGGAACCCATCATTCTATTGAATTGGGTTCTGGGTCAATTCCACATCAGTTTCAGAAATCCTCAGGTGCTGGGAAGGCCAAGGGCTACCATTGTCCAAGCCTATATGTGAACTCTTCAGCTGACCCTTGAGTGGCACCAGTGAGCTAGAGGTTTGCTTTGGGGGAACGGCCCCCAGCTATTGGCCAGTCTCCAATTTTCCTTTAGGAAGAGTTGCTGAGAAGTGGTGGGGCAGATAATATGGACCTTGGATGAAGTGGGTTATCTGGACCTCTTCCAGTCCAGGTCCAGGATGAGACATGGGACTTAGATGGGAGGTGCCCCCCTCCTTGTCCTGCTTGATCTCTTGATGGCATTTGGTACCATCAACCACGGACCACCTGCAAGGATTGGGAGTTGGGGACACAGTGCTACAAGGGTACCACTCCTTTCTGAGTGGGCAGTTCCAGATGGTATTAATGGGAGCAGAAATGTAGTACAGGTGACCCAGGATTCAGCTTTCTCCCTCAATTTCTTTAAAACCTACAGAAAACTGCTGGGAGAAACATCTGCTGGTTCCTTGTGAGGCACCATTAATTTGCTGATGATATCAGTTGCATATCTTCATCTCAGGCTGAGCAGGAGATGTGATGGAAATCCTGACCTGTTGCATGGAGGTTGTGAGAGGCTGGATGGAACAGAAAAGGCTTAGGATGAATCCGAGCAACATGGTGTTGCTCAAAAGAACTGTGGTTTCTTCTTTAGCTTTGGATGGGGTGGCACTAATCCTGAATGAGCAGGGGCACATGTTGAGGATCCTCCTGTCCTCGCAGCTGCTGTTGGAAAAGCAGGTGGACGCCATGGACAAGAGGGCCTTTGCCTTTTTCTAGATCCAGAGCTTCATCTCATGCCTGATTACTGCAAATTACTCTACCTGGGGCTGCCCTTGAAGACAATTCAGAACCTTCAGTTGGGTTCAGGATGTGGCTGCGTATTTGCCATGGGCCCATCTAGGTACAGTAGAATCACACCAATTCTGGAGGATCTTCTAAGTCCAATGCAGAGTGTTGGTTACGACCTTTACGGTCCAGAGCCTTCCCTGTTTGTCCTTCTGAAAGGTAGCCAAGGTGATGCCATTCTAAAGGGATGGAGGGTGCAGTGGTGCAGTGGAAGCAGCTAAATTCTGGGGGAAGTATTTTTATTATTTTATTGGTTGTTTATGCTGTTCTAAAGGTTTTCAGGTCAATTGTTCTGTGAGATGCCTAGGGTACTAGGAGGTGGAGATATGTAAATTAAGGTAATAAACAAATACATATTGGAATATAAATTTAAGCTAGCACTTAAACTACATACTCATCGGATCATCGTTTCTGTGATGCAAAGCACTTATTTCATTCAGAGAGTTGCAAGCTACAGTCACTGTATGCATGCTTGTTATACGTCAGTTAGAAAATTAAACATTGCAGCCAGATGATTCAGCTTCTGAAACCCCAGAGTGTATATGTTAAAGTTGGAATAGTGACATTTCAGAAGGACAGTAGTTTTGGATTTCCTTTAGCTCTCTCTTCATTTCAGAATCCATATCATCCTTTCCCGGATCTACTTTTGCCACCTTGAAGGCAAGAAATGTTGCTTTTTAAAGATATTGAAACTGACAAGATTCAGACAAACCCCCTCTCCCCCGCTGCCCTCCATAGCAAAGCATTTGGAAAAGAACCCCTGGAAGATATTAATTTAATTTAAGTTGCATTGAAGTACAGCAGGAGGGAACACCTAGTTGCACTGGCTAATTTTAGAAAGTTATGTAGACTCAGGCAAGGTAAATAATTGGATGGGGGACCACAAGGAAATTCCAACTTATAGGCTAGACTGGAAGAAACATTCTGGAAGAAAGCACTGTAATCATTAGGTTCTGAGCTCAACTCTACTTTTTTAAAGTTTATTAGATAGAATCCATATCTGTTTGTTTTTGCTGGTGTTTTTCAAAGGGCGTTTAGTGCCACCAGTCCAAAGACATTTTACATTTGGTTCCCATTGTAACTGATGCTACAAAAAAGAACAGATGGAGTGATTAGAGAACACAGGACAGTAACATCCAGTTCTATCAATAAAGTATCAATAAATACTTAAACGCCTAGCCTGGAAGCACCCTATAACTTTGCAAAAAATCAAAGCGAGGATGGTTTCTATACAGATCATTAAAATTAACTCCTGTATGAGCAGTTCTGGAGTGTTAAAGCAATAGCCAATCTTTCATCTCTCTTTCTTCCCTAGAAAAGTGGGGTAACTTTGGGCAGGGAAACGTTGCTGACCACGCCAGTAGCCCCTGAAACGAAGCACGAGACGGTTTCTGAGGATTTTATTCATCTGAATGTTTGGAACAAAAGATTGTGCGATGGTGCTGGGATTTCAGTTGCGTATTTTTGCTCAAAGCCTTGCATAATTACCCTAGAAGCTGTAGCTTCGTTGGAATCCAAGAGTACCGTGTCAGTGTACAAGAAAAAGTGGGAAGGGGATCACCTCTTCCACATCAGTCAGAATCGAACAGTCAGCTTGACGTTTCCAAGTAGTATGGTTTTCAGAGACGATTATCTTATCAAACGCTCCGTAATTGTACACTGGGTGATATTATATGCCTGGATTACTCATAAGGAGGCAACGCTTCCCCGTGCTTCGCAAGCAGAAAGCTACTGGCATGCAATTGCACGGGACTACAGTTTTTTGGACCCAGTTCCACCTTTTGAACGTCCGTACAAGGAGCATAAAGTATGCTTGACATGGAGCATGGAACATACGTGGAAACTCCAGGCGAACAGGATACCTCGGTGTCCCCACGAGAACGGTATGGGTGAATCGGTTTCTTTTTGCCGGCAACCACATTGTGAGTTTGCAGCTATTGGTGTAGGGGAACTAATTTACAGCATTTATCTGACATTTTTTCTAGTGCAGTGATCACATCTCTTCTAAATGAGAAAAATAGTATTGAAATATTCACCCCTTTGAATATTCAGATTATTTGAAATCTTGAATATGGGGTTTGCAAGCATATAGATGGGGCAGGGCGTAGGGGAACTAATTTACAGCATTTATCTGACATTTTTCCTAGTGCAATGATCACATCTCTTCTAAATGAGAGAAATAGTATACACAGGCTGGCCAAAACAGTCTGATCTTTCTCAATATACTTCTCCTGTTCATATAAAATAGGGAAAGAGGACTACATCACAGATAAATCCACTCAATAAAAGTTGCCACATTTCCCTACAGATTTATCCTGTTGCCACTAGTTTAGATCTGGCATGTTGGGACATTAACTGAATAACAAGAACAGCATAAGCTTCAGATGTCTGGGTATTCCCCTCCCCTTTTTCACAGCCAGAAGGGAAATATTGGAATTTTTACTTCTTCTTTTAAACAAACCAAAGTTTTCTGTTATGTCTAAAGTTGGGAAACAGTAGCCTTTCTATGCTGTGGTTTGTTAGAACAAGCTGGGATCAGACTGTGAGTTCAGATTCCAAACTTATAAAACCGATGAAAAGGCAGCAGTGCCCTTCACTCTGTGCACGGTGAACTAACCTTACACTTTTCTATTAAACTACACTGTCAAAAACAAAATTCACATTGGAGCCCAGATTTTGTAGAAATGTCGGTAGCTATACCAGATCATAGAACAGCATATATCTCATCGAAACCCTCACAGGCATTTGACTGCTGAATGTGGATAGTTATAAGCTAAAATGTGCAATTCCGTGCCAAGTAACCCACACATGTAAAAAAGGGATGGGGCTTCAAATGTGGCTACCATCTTGACTTTTTTGACACCCCCAACCCTGCAACCCGCCCTGCCCAGGGCTAGAATCTTCAGCCCACTCAGTCTGGGATTCTTACTTTTCCTAAGCATAAATAGATTCACAATTTTGGAAACTCAGATTTTACTCACCATCTTCTAATAACCCATTCCAATCTTGGGGAATCTTCTCATTTAGAGGGATATGGTTTTCTCCCCTATACATCCTCATATCTACCAAAGAATTTAATAAGAATATTAGCAAAAGAATTGTTGGAAGTTTTTCAGGGAAACCAGTCAAAGTGACAGAGGATATATATGATCCTTTGCAATTTCTGGCTAATTCAGAATGGTCATAATTTACAGATGTAGTTGAAATCCTCAACCTCCCATATGCATCCAGTGGAGAGGCGACAGGAATTGTGAAGAAATTTCAGAAATTTGAAAACCGAGAACTTGAAGCAATCCGGGAGCATCACATTCATTATCCATCGTAAGCAAATTCCAATAATTAAAGCATTCTGAACTTAATTATGTTTACCTATTAAAGTATAATTCCTCTGCTGATTTCTCTTCTCTTTCTTTCTCACTCTCTTTTTCTTGCTCACTATCACTCAGCTTAGCTGAGTCTGATTCCATTTTAGAAGCAGTTAATAGATTAGAAACCCATTGTAGATTTGCTTAACAGTAGTCTTCTCAAGGTTCCTGTAGTATTTGCAGGTCATATTTCAATGACTGATAATTCCCAGTTCTTCAAATGGAGGCATTGCTGAAGATCCTTCAATCTGGATCTTTGGACAGATATAGCTAGCTGGACTTCTTGAAATCTTGAACACAGTTGTACTTGGTTAGTATTTGGATGAGAGACCATGAGGAAATCTAGGGGCTGAGGCTAAACTGGGGAATTGAAAAACATCCTAGAAGAAGATTATGACAAACAAGCCTGGATGTATTTATAAAGTCACTGAGAGTTGAACTCAACTTGAGGGAGTCTTTAATTAAGGTCTTTAATTAGGTTCAAGGTCATGGACTAAGGGGTTAGGACAGTGTTTCTCAACCTTGGCAACTTTAAGATGAGTGGACTTCAACTCCCAGAATTCCCCAGCCAGCC